TTAACAAAAACATAGCAAATTTTTTTTTCTTATCACGCCTGCACTATATCAGACAAGACAACTCGTATCAGGGCGGAAGTTTGGTTGTTACAACTCTCTAACAAGGTACCTGAACTGGTGTTTTGGTTAAGAGTCTATCAAATCAAAAAAATGTGTTTTTTGTAATTTTTTGCAAATCCTTGAAATGAAAATTTCAAAAAATAAATTGAACATGATGTTCCAGGTTCTTGATTAGTTTTTATTAGCACGCTCATCCTGAGAAAAACTCTGCAAGTGTAATGAGCCTATGAGTTTACGTTTGCACAAAACCAAAATTTCAGCAACTCGGCTAAGGAAAAAATTGTTAATTGGGTATTGAACCTATTAACATTGATGTTTTATTAGTACTGAACCTATTAGACTTTGCCACTTTCAAAATCAAAGATGCCATCAAGTTCCTAAGGATATCAAAGATAATTAAAAAAAATTAAAACGAAATTCGAAGAAAAAAAAACAAAGATCCTAGAGATTTTTAAAAGGTTTGCATAAAAATCAAATTACTTAAGCCAGAATTCTCTTGAAGTTTTGATAAAATCTTCCTTCATAAACTGTTAAACTTGGAAAGATGAATAAGAAAAAAGAAAAATTATACAGAAAAAGAATTACGCTTTGTTGCTAATTTATTATTTTAAATTAGGTAGTAACAAAAGAAATAAAAAAGTCCACAGAAAAACACTCTGCATATTTGAAAACTGACAAAAAAAAGTTTTATTCAACATTGGTTACAGTCATCATTACATCAGAGTTGATAGTTTTTTAAATTTTGCTTTAGAGGAAACAAGGACTTTTGAGTTCAGCTTTTTGGAAACTTTGGCTTAAATGAAAACAAAACTTTCAAATTTAGCATTTCGGGAACAACATTCTTGTGACAAGTTTTCGAGCTCGAATCAATAGATTTCGACTGAAACGGTTTTCTCACATTGAGCTAACAACTACCACATCTATATTAATATCCGACAAGAAGTAACTCAAGTTCACTGATTGAAACGAATCGGATAAAAAAAATCAGTTAAATTTTCTACTGCCGCATTATCCACAGACGCTTATCTCGAACAACTTAATCAAAAAAATTACTGTCGAACGATTATGCATGGGCAACCAATTAAAGTGCACAAAAATTTTAGTTTCCTAGAATGCTTTAAGTTTGACTCTTTAACATTACCAACGTCTCCCCTTGAAATAGCTACTTTAATATCGCTAACTTGGTAATCAAAGTCTCATAACGGAAATAAAAAGATTAATCAGCTTATCTGTCAGTTTTCATTTCAATTAAACGTGTTGCATGTGTAAATATTTTGATCATTTACTCTTATATATAACACTTTCTTAACAGGTTTTGAAAAGTTCCCCATATAAAATTATTCCAGGTATTTGTAGGAAAAAAATCAATTGGAACGCCCCCAAAATTGGCTAAGCAATCGAAGGTTGGCCCAAGAGATCAGTAAATGAGATGTCGGGAAAAACTTTTGGTGTTTTATAATTTTCACGAGAACCCGAGAAGCAAACTTGAGACGGCATGATTCTAAAATTTCGGAAAATGGATGCCAAGCGCTGCAAAAAATGGAACGAAAAACGACGTATAACCCCATGTATTGAATGAACATGCTATCTTTGGACAAAAATCTAAATTTAAACCATTTGTGTATTAAAATATACCCCGTAGCAACAAACAATGCTGAGCTATAAACAAGTCACGTATTTGTATCAGTCCCGGATTGATCCTCATAGAACAAAAATGCTGTTCGTACAATTCCATGCAAAAAAGTTTATCATACAATTCCATGCGAGGGCTTTACAAAAGCAAGCTTATCAGAAAATTTCTTTTTATAAAAATGTATGATAAGCATTTTTTTCATGCAAAAACTTCAAATCTAGGAAAAAAATATTTCAGTTCTCATTTTTGCCGTCCACCAGTTTTACGAACAAAAAAGAGTGTAGCAGAATTTGTACTTTTCAGTTTTTGATGATAAAACCTGAACTAAATTTGACCAAAAACAGGCCACAATTTTCGACGTCGGAGTTGTTCGAAACAGAGGCCATGACATAACAATGAGTTGCCCTTTTTTGTTATAATTTTGAGTGAAATGCAATTTTCATCTGACTTGGCATTTAGCAAAACGTAGTTATATCTGCAATTCAATGCCGTTTAACCTGTTGCTTAGCAATACGTAGTTATATCTGCAATTCAATGCCGTTTAACCTGTTGTTTTTCTCATTTGCGAAAAATTTTGGTATTTGTGTTTGGGCGAAAACCATTAGGAAGCAAAACACAAAAAAAGTTGCAAGGAAAAAAATGCTCCTCATGCAATTCTATAGAGTAGCAAAATCCTTATCAAACATCACCATGAAAAAAATCTTTTCTTTTTTAATTTATGGAATTGAATGAAAATGTATGATAAGCAATTTCTGAAATTTTTGATGAATAAAGCACAGTATCTGTGAAAAATCATAGATCGTATCAAGGTTCACAAGTTCAAAACAATTATTTTGTCGGAAGTGTAACGTTCCTGATCAATCATTTGTTGCTCTTGATCAACCACCTTGTTCGGTGGCGAGATAATTATTGTTCCGACTTTCGATACAAAAGTAACGGAATATTTGTGCTCGGGTTGGATTTTTTTTTCTTCAGACAAATTTCGACTTTTTAACTAGCCATTTTTGACGGAATTTTTTTAATATCATTCAAAAGGTATTGTTGTCCTGAGCTCAAATTTGAAAAGATATTTCACCTGTGATCGTTTTTTGTGAAGTTATGGGGTCTTAAAGATTGCCATTTTGGCCAATTTGGGACAATTAACGCGCGATATATTTCGCGCGATTAACGCGTAAGTGGAGAGTTAATTCGTCTTAAAAATTGTTCCAAATTGGTTGAAAGAAGCGTATTTGCCATGTTTGATTTGTTACTAGGAGCTAAATTTATTTGTTTGTACTTTATATGGCGTGTGTGGGGATGATTTTCATAAAAATATTCAAATTGAAAAAAAATTTCACTTTTTTTATTACATTTAATTTTTTAATGTTATTACTTCTCCATAAAATCTTAAAAGGCAGTCGGAACATTCAGGGCTTCGCCCTGATACGAGCAGTTTTTTTTTGTGGAGAGCTATGTTATTTTGTTTCGAGTTTTAAAAAAGTTTGGAAAGAATTGTTTTCAAGGAACTTGTCTCTAACCCTTCTCTTAATTCACGAATATATTTCTTCTCCAGAGAATCCTGTTTTTGTATTGTACTCGCAAAAAACTGTTTGAAGCGACAAACTATCCAAGCGAAACACTACTGTAGACTCAATTTCAAACAGCTAGGCCAAAGGCTCGTCCCTGAATTTATTCAATAAACTTATCACAACAGTTAAATCAAAACCAAACAGATATAGCAAACTTTTACAAAATTACTCTTTCTATGTGTGTAGGTGGTAGTGTGTGTATGTGTGTTTTTCTAGTTCTCAGAAACCTATTGTTTTGTTCAGTTCTTTCACTTATAATGTTTTTGCAAAGTAAAAAAAAAACTTGAATGCAGAAGAATTTGCTCTCATCAATAGCATCACAACGGTAAACTAACATTGAACAAGTATCCGTACATGAGACAGGGGCGGATCTAGGATTATCTCGAAGGGAGGGGCGGATTTTTAAAACAATGAATATTTTGTCGACTTTTTTAGGCTGACCAAATTGATTTTTTGAGTTCTCCCAAATCATTATAAAGACCCAATTTTGACAAAATTTTCTGCTTAGCAGGCAATTTTTTGAAAACAACAGGCCAAAAAACAACAACATGCGCACTCCCCTCTCAAAATTAGTATATTTTGGCGCCGAAGGCGCCCTTAGAAAAATTTTAGGGTCAGTCGGCCAAAAATGGATATCTCAAAACAGTACAAAGGCAGACCCTTTTGGTCGGTGGGAGGCCGAATCCCTAAGGGCCGGGGAAAGAAAAACGTCCACCCCCTGCCTCCCCCCCCCTAAATCCGATGGTGACAAAAGTAACTTTTTTTTTACCAATGTTGACTTGTACTACAAAAGTAAGAAACTGTAATTGAGCAAAATTTCGAAAGAAATTACTCTTGTGGCGGGTGGGGGATCAAGAGTGCGAGAATAGAAGCCTAATTTATAACAATCTAGCAAATACCACTAGCAAGCTTCTGTTAGACCGGCGAAGAAATTTTAGCCCAAATTTTGCCCCCAAAAAGCCAAAATTCAAAAACATGTAATACCACATGCTTGTAGACCATCTCATCAAAAAACAGAAATTTTTTTACTATAATAGCATATTTAATTTTAAAACTCGTCGCGGAAAAATTCACAGCCCCTAACGAATAGTTAATTATCTCGAAGGTCATTCAATAATTAGAATGGGTTATCTGATAACAGGGTTATCTGAAAATAATTAGATTTTTTAATTAGTAACTCGGATAAAGTCTGATTAAGTATAAAAACACAGGTGGGTTCGGAAAACTTACTAATCTAAATAAATTAGCTGATTTTTTTGCTTGATATTCGCTGAAAAAATCCCTCCCTTAATTTAGAAATATTATTGAACCTATTTTGAATATAGTTAAATAGGTTATCAGACCAACAGCGGCGGAGGTTAATTTTTCTCCTGCTTAAGCTAAACCTATTCATAAATAGCCCTTTTCAGTTTTGAGAACTGATATCGTCATTAAAACTCCAAATGAAATTACCCTATCTGCTTAATTTCCGGAGAGGTTAGTAAAATTTTAGACATATACGCTCCGAAAAATGCGTGAAAGGTGGTAAATTTCAAATCTATCGGAAGCTGGGCTATTTTAATGCTTCATTTTAATGTAGTGTAACGTGACAATTCAGCCTTCTGGTGGTCACAGTTTGCGTTTCCGCTTGTTTTTATCAGAAACGAGCCGCCAGGATACTGTTTGCCTGCAATACTGGCAATTAAATGATTAATAGAGACAATATTCCATGTGTTTTGTTTGATGAATTTTTTTTTTCATTTACCTTCTATAGATGTTTTTTCTACAAAGACACAAGACACTCTCTCTCTCTCTCTTTCTCAGGTAAGCAATTATTTTCAACTTTTTGGCATTTTTTTTGCAATACATAATCGAAAACTCGGCGCTATGCAAACAATCGATATCGATGAAAACATATATCTGGAATCAATGGATCTAGGAATTTCTCGAAAGGGGGCGGATTTTCAAAAAAAGATGAAAAGTTTGTCCTTTTTTTCTTTTAGGTCGAACAAATTGATTTTGTGAGCTCTCCGAAACCACTATAAAGACCCAAATTTGACCAAATTTTCTGCGCCGGAGGCAATTAAAAAAAAAAGTCCAAAAAAGGCCATTTTAGGTACTTTTTGGAAAACTTTGACCAAAAAATTGCGTTTTTTCGGCACGCGCTTCCCCCTCAAAATTAGTATAGATTGGCACGAAGGCGCCTTTAGAAAAATTTTAAGGTCAGCCAGCCAAAAATGGATATCTCGAAATAGTAAAAAGGGGGGACCCTTTGGGTAGGCTGGGGGTCGAATCCCCCCCCCTAAATCCGCTACTGGATGTTATATATATATATATATATATAGAAGGTTTTTTGTTCAAATCACAATCCTTTTGATGAAAATAAACATAGACAATAATCAACAAGGATACCACAGAACATTCCAACTTTTTTCATTTAAATGGTTTTTTTCACATTACGAGGCCAAACTGTGCACTGGTTAGACGCACAATTTTGTTTCTGTATGTTCCTGGAATCCAGAGACAAGTCTTTTATAATGTTAAAATTTTGCCGGATCAATCAAAGAGAAAAAAAGATCAATAGAAGAAGAAAGGGAGCAAACTTCTTGCGGAATCCACTTACAATTCACAAAATACACAGTTTGGCCTCAAATGCAACTGATTGTCGTCTTTTTGTGCATGGTTTGATAAAAAGAATGGACGAAAGCCTATAATTTAAAACTATTTGATACTCGTCGTAAAATTGAGAAGGTGGACAGCAATTTTAGCCAAAAACTGATTGGATAAACAAAAAAAGTTGCAAAAATTGTTTTCAAAATTTTTTTTTGAGTTTTTGTTTGATATTTTTAATCCCAAAATGGTGCTCAAAAATTTCAGAAACGAAAGTAACCAGAACAAGTTTACCTTTTAAGGGCTTGGATAGGTTAATCTTTCTTCTATAGAAAGCCACTTAAACATTTTATTCGCTCGAACTTAGACTGAAAAATCCAATTTTCAAACTTACAATTTCTTCCAAATTTTTTTCTTCCAAACTTACAATTTCGATCGAATCACGACTAAAAGGGCCTTATTGTGATATATCAATCGGCCTTCTCCGATGATCACGTGTGATACCTGGTTTTCCGTGGAGTAGAAAAAGAAGTTGGAAAAAAAACTAAAACACCCGAACACAAAGTTTCTCCCCATTTTCAATGGTCGTAACAATAATTGATTTTTTAAATAAAACTTTAGTTTTCAAAGTTAATCCGTTAAAGAAAGTAACACGAGACAGTATAATTGATTTCATGGTCTAAGTCTTACATCCGGAAACAATTTTAATGACAAAAAACCATTATAACCGATTGTTATCCATCAAACTTCGGCTCTTTTTCCTTCCTACCCCCCACCTTCAATTTTTTAAATTTAAAATTGCTGTTCACCTTCTCCGATTGTCATCAAAATTGAAATGCTGATTAGGCTATGACAAACATATTTGGTTTTAATAATCAACCTTGTAAAACTACTCGTTAGACCATAAAATTAGTGCTTGTGTGAGGTGGGGTGGAAACGGAAAAAGAGCCCAAACTTTTTTGCCGGTGGCCACTGTAAGCTAAGGACTCACAAAACTACCATTTTAGCCACAAATACTGGCCCTTATTTTTTTGTTCACAGACTGGGGAAGGGGGCTCTTATGGGAAAAGGAAAGACCAATTATCCTGACTTGAAGGATTGATATTTAGCTTTCATGCGACTTATTGTAACAAAAATAATGGTCATTATTTGTTCTTTGGCGTTTTGATAGTTTTGACACTATATTTAGTACCATATAGCCCATTTACAAATACATTTTTTGTCATATTTTGCTAATTAGGAAGGAAATTGCGGATATGATATGATCTAAGTTTGAGGGCACTATGGTCATTTTAGATTTTAAAACTTAAGTCGGCGTCTTCACATCAGTGGCATTTAAAACTAACAGTTGACTTCAAAAATGGAGACGAAAGGAAAAGGTCGGCCTATTAGTGAAACAATCAGCCCACAATTTTCTCAGAAATCATATTTGAAAACAAAAAAAATTAAACTGGTCAGCTAGTTTCTATTCATCGAATCAGACTAAAGATTTTTTTCTTTGATTAATCCAACATCAACAGATACATGCACAAAGCTCTCCCTTTATGTTTCGCAATCCCCTTACCAACTTCCAGTCCTTTCCAATTTTTGTTGCCCCTTCCAACCTACAGGAGCGTGCCGATGGGGGGGGGGGTGGTGTTATATTTTTGGCGACTGCCCCCCAGTCAATTTTGGTTGCCAAACTTTTCCAAAAGGTCCCCCTTTGGTATAATTTTAATTTTACGATTTTTACGAGATCCATTTTCGGCAGGCCAACGTCAAACATTGTTTAAAGGCGCCTTTGAGCCAATACAACTAAACTTGAGGGGGGAGCGCGTACCGGAAAAACGCAATTTTCCAAAACGTCATTTTAGCCTATTTTCCAAATTTTGCATGCGGCACAGAAATTTTTCGACAAAACAGGTTTATTATAGTGTTTCAGGCGAGCTCGGAAAATCAAATTGATCGACTTAAAAAAAGTCGACAAGTTTTTATTTTTTATAGAAAAACCGCCCCTCCCCAGAAAAATTTCTGTGCACGCCACTGCCAACCCACCCTTGTTAAAATCATTTTCAAGTTTTTGGTCAAAATATCAATTAAGATTTAAGATATCACATCGAAATAGAATTAACAAATATTAACAATTATTTCAGCTGCTTTTTTGACGGCGCAGAGACAATTCAGCCACAGACAATTCAGCCACAGACAATTCAGCCGATTTAAAATACAGACAATTCAGCCAAAAAATTTCAGACAAATCAGCCAAAGATAATTCGGCCTATTTAGATTAAAGAAACCAGATAAAAGGAAATTTTAAAAAAAATTTTATTTGATTAGAGTCAGAAGGCTTTCAACACTTTAACAAAGAAATGTGAAACATCAAATAACAAATTTCAAAGATCAAAACAATCTCGGTATGCATAAGGTTTTAAGATATATGTACATTGAAGGTACAAAGTTTTAAATACTTCTGTATATGATCTCGATTGTAGTTTATTGCGTTTTGAACAAGTTTCTCATTGGCGAGTGAATACCGGATATCAGTCTCTCTACATTTATTTTGGCATTTTTTTTGCTCATCTTTGAAATGTGTGATCAGCTTGGGGAGGGCGGGGTGCTTTGTCGACATGAATTTTTTGAAGCTGCCACTCCATGTCTCGAATGCATTGTTCAAATGAGGTTCACCATTGAGCACCCGATTGAAACCGTTCCAATCTGCAATGTCAAACTTTGGTTTGACGCATCTATTCCCTCGAGAGGCACCAATATAGGTGTCTTCAAAATATTCCGATAGACTTTATAACTCCTCTGAGGGATTCTCTTCGGAGAGCCTCAAAAGCGAAAATAACGTCGTCAACGGGAACGAATGCCGAGCAAATCATTTTTTTGACATTCAGACGAAATTCATCGTCGTCTGTGTACTTTCGCGTAAATCTAAAATTTTGTACATTGCTCCATACTGCCTGGCCTAGATGGAAGAAACAGAATTGAATTTCTGTATCAGGCTGCTTTTGCCTTATGGCGTTGCGAACAGGGGCTTCAAAATCAATGACTACTTTTTTTCCAAATTGCTCTCAGCACCCAAAAAGTTTTTCATATGTGTCTTGAGTCTTGATGGGCAGCAGAGCATAAACCACGGTTATAACTGCGTTTTCGATTACACCACGAATGGTATAAATTTTTTTATAGCAAATTTTTTAGCGTGAATTTTTGAGGGGCTCGGTAAATGAGCATGTTTGGTTTTTAAGGTGAATTCTTGCTGTTCGTCCAAAGAACCCACTGCTCTGCAACTTCCAAATAAACATTGACATTTAGTTAGACCGTTCTTAAGTTGGTTTTTTCTTCTTGGTATCTATAAACCTCAAGACAAAGATGCTTTTTTCCGCGTTCAGACGTTACCAATTCCATTTTACGTCAACTTTTGCTCAAAGTGAAAGATTTAGAATGATTCAGATACTAATCAATCAGTTGTTCAAGCTAGTTACTAATGAAGATTAATCAATGTTAATTGTGTAAATGGACAATCTAACTGCAAAAAGTAGGCGTTCAACGCGGTATTGGTTTCTGGTTGGACAGTATTTTAATCGCAATTAGTTTATCTTTTAAAAAAAATTTAAGTTTCTAATTAATTTTAATCAACTACCCAAATTACCTAATGGGCGGTTGCACCCTCCCACGCCTAAGGCATGATTAGAATATCAGCGTATCTGTGTGGCCAGTACGTGGTAGGGGTGGTCAACCCTTTAACTGATATCCTTTTTGACCGCCTGGAAAACTCCCAATCTCGGGTCTAATTTCGCGTAAATTGGTTAACTTTTAAGTATTGTGCAGTTTTTTGTAGAGTTCAATTTTTGGTTAGGTACTATTCTTAAATTGGAAACATAATGAGTTGCATAAAGTTTTGTTATGTTTAGGGAAATTTGTTTCAGTTAATTTTATTTGTTTTATGGGCATTTGAAAGGAATTAATTATAAGTCGTCTTATGAAAGCTTTGATGTTTTGCCGCATGTGAAAAAATTTTGGGCGCAGGTTTTAAGACTTTAAATTTGTCTGAATTGTCTTTGGCTGATTTGTCTCACTCATTTTGACTGAATTGTTGAATTTGAAATTGGCTGAATTGTCTGTGACCGAATTGTCTGAACACCATTGTCTGAACACGAATTATCTGAACACGATAATGTCTGGCGCAGAGACAATTCAGCCAAAAAGAATTCAGCCGATTTAAAATACAGACA